ATGAATTTAATTGAATAGTTCATAAATTAAAGATCAATTTTTATTTTTTTAATATAAATTTATGATAAAAAAATATATTTATTACACCCTTAATTTATGTTGTTAAAACAATAGAATAGGCCTTAATTTATTACCCATAAACTACCTAGCCTCATAGACCTATCAACTGGTTTCATTAATAGTGTAAGGGCTAAATTTAATACTTCCCTTATTTATTTTTAGTAGATTGAATTTAACTTTTTAATTGTTTAGATATAAATTTTAAACAAAAATTTAACATATTATAAAAATAATAATCAAATTTGTTTCTTTGATCATATAAAAATATTCAACAAGAACGGCATATAGGGAAAATATATTTTAATTGTTATTCATTAAATTATTAAATTTTTATCTAAAATTAATGTTTTAAAAGCTAAAAAATCAAATTAAATTTACTAAAAATAAACAAAGCTAATAAATATTCTAATAACTATGTATTTTATATTAATTTAGCCTACAAACAATTTCTTCTGTCAAAGTCATCTACAAACTATTAATTTTATATCAAAATAGTCTATTTTACCATCATCCGTGTCAATTACTAAACTAACGAAATTATTTTTGGTTGTTGAGAAGCTACCTCTTAAACTTTTGGAAAATGTTAAATATAATACATATATTTTTGTTTTTTGTAATAATTTGTTTTTGAACTTTGGAGTTTGAATTATAAGGACCATTCAAATATAACAAAAATATTTAGGACTTTGTTAAAGAGATTGTTTCTCTCTTTGTGGCTAATTCTTATAAAGACATGATTATTTTATCTAGAAAAGAACAAATATAAAAAATAGTCAAAATCTAGTTATATTAATATAACTTATATAAGTTTTACATTAGTTTTATGAAGAAGATGTGGAAAATCAAGATGTTCGGGCATTAAAATGTCTGGAGATCCAATCAAAATCACAGAATAAGTGAGATATAATATAGACCCCACTTAAGTTGTAATTGGGATTAGATGCCAAAAATGTCAAGACATCTTGATTTACACTTATTTATAGTTATATAGTAATCCACTTAAACGTAAATTAATACACACCATATTTACATAAAATTTCAACAATATATCTTTTCACTTTCAATGATTATGATTTATTTACATTTATTAAAGATAATTATTTTTTTATTTAAAAAGTCATAATAAATCCCAACCATTAAAAGGTGAAGAAATGAATGGTCAAGATCTAATAGAAGTGTAATATGTAAAACTTCTATATAAATAGATCTCTTCATATATATATATATGTATATATATATATAAGTAGGAATCTATTTACACATAAGTTTTAAACATTACGCTTACACAAAATCTCAATTATTCATCTCTTTATTTTCAATTACTAAGATTTATTCATATTTATTAAGGATAATTATTTTTTTCATCTAAAAAATTGTGATAAATCTCAATAATTGAAGTTGAAAAAATGAATAATTGAGATTTTATATAAATGTGGTGTATAAGATATGTGTATAAGTGGATCCTCTATGTATAATTGTGTATCTGTCTCTATATATATTGTACAATTCATTTTCTATTAAACTAATAGTTGAATCTATTTTACTGATATATATTATAGGTTTCAAATTTAAAATTGATTTGATATACATAACTTTAAGGGAAAAAAAAAACTATCTTCTTACATTATTTATTTATAGGTCTTAAATTATATACTATTCAAAAATAATTAAATATATATAGTTAATTTAAACTTTGGTGTGGATGACATAATTGGTACATGCATAAAATAAGTGACTGATTTAAAAATTAGTATGAATTATACCATGTATACTATTAAATGACTTATAAAAAATTTTAGAAATTTACCCCAATAACATAAATTTCTAGTTCTGTCCTTGTCCTAAAAATTGTCTTAAATTATTCCATTTAAGAGATAAGTTTTTCATACAACTTTTTTAATATAAATTTACATGTTATTTAATGATTATCTCTTTTCACTTTACTAAGACTTGTTATATTATATGATTTATTTATTTAATAATATGTAAAATTTATAAATAAAAGTTATACAAAAAACCTGTACTTATATCATTACCATATAAATTTTATTAAATGCAAATATCTAGGTCGACATGCAGAAAAAGAGTGCAGGAATACCTATCAAAAGACATAAATGCAATTAATGAATTAGCATGCATGTGTAATTCATTAAAGTATTTAAATAATTTTATCTATGCCCTTTTTCTTTACAAGTCAACACTTTTATGTAAATTTTAAATGATTGCTTTTTATTTATAAAACTTTAACAATTTAATTAAATGAATAGCCTATTCATAAAATATTAAAATTTTTGTCAAAATAGTAATTAATTAAGATGATAATTTTAATTTACACTACACTAATCAAGATTCTTATTTTAATTTATATTAATTAATATTATAATTTCAATTTTATTATTTTGAAAAAAATTAAATTTCATTATTAAATTACACATTTTCTTCATTAATTTGTATAGAAAAACACAAAAATTTATTTATATTTTTAATACTAATAACATATGCACGATTTTAATTAGCATGACTGATAAAATTGAAATCAATTTTTATTTTTCTTGACAATTTTAATTATGTATGCTGGGCACTTATTTAATTAAATTAAATTTTGGAAGGATTTAATTGTTAAAAATATAATCTAAGGGTTCAATTAGAAATTTGGCAAAAAAAAAAAAAAAAAAAAGGGTTCAATTTGGAAAGGATTAAAGGTTCATATGTTAAAAGCACTTTTTTTGCCACATGGTATGTAAGTGGCACGATTGTCAATAGCCAAAAGAATTTAAGAAATGTGCGATAAGAATACTAATTTTGTCATTTTTTATTTAAAAATGTAAATTTTGTTCATTTTTAATTAAAGCAATCAACTCTTAAAATTTTTTATTTAAATGTGTCAATTTTGCATTTTTCTCTAATTAATGATTAATTAGATGGTAATATTGATAGAGTAAATAACTTTTTTTAACTATCTAATTAATCCTTAAATATAAAAAAATATAAATTCGACATTCTTAAATAAAAAAAATTTATCGTCTTATTTAAACACTAATAAAATTCACATATTTAAATAAAAAAATTAAAAAATTTATATCTTTATTTACACATTTTCTCAATTAATAGATGCTGGTGAAATAGATAATTTTGATACAAAATTACTAATTTATAGATTACTTTAAAAGAAAGTTATTTCTATACTAAATTAATATAGTCAATAATTAATAGATTATTTATTAAATTAGTCTAAAAAAACAGGAACCATAATTTAATCCTAACAAACGACTGGAATCTTCTCAAAAATTACCATTTATCTTGCATTTAATTTGTTACCCACTAACTGACTTCCCGGCCTGACGACATACTTAACAACATTAATAGTGCATTAAATTGCATAGCATGCTTCGGTCTAAATGTTTCCAATGGCTATGCATTTTGTGCATCTGCATCTCAAGCCTACGCTGCCCTGGGACTTGGAAGACAGTCTAAAGGGCAATTCAGCTTCAATGGTTGAGTACAAAGAGATACTAATAGCAATAGTTCTCTCCATTTTTCTTTTCTATTGGAGTTGGAACAGAAATTCTCCCATTAGAATCTGGCCGGTGGTTGGTATCTACCAGGGGTTCTTCACAACATAGGCAGACTCCATGATTTTTCCACTGAAGTTTTGGAACGAGGTAAGGGCACTTTACAGTTCAGAGGACCTTGGTTTTCTAACTTGAATTTTGTCTTGACAAGTGATTCCAGGAACGTGCAGCACATCCTGAACAAAAAGTTTGAAAACGTTCAACGGGGGCGGAGTTTAGGGAGATATTTGAAGGCTTGGGAGATGGTATTTTCAATTCTGACGGAGACTTGTGGAAAACCCAACAGAAAGCTCTCCACTCATTGATAAAAAAAACTAAGTTCGAATTGGCGGTGCAGAGAATTCTCACTCAGAAACTCGAAAGAGGTTTGATCCCAATTCTTGAAAGCTGCTCCGTGCTCGACATGCAAGATGTGTTCCACCGCCTCACGTTCGATATCATTTGCCTTTTGGTTTTTGGATTTGACCCAAATTGTATTTCCATTGAATTCCCTAGTGTTTCATGTGAGAAGGCATATGATGTCATGGAGGAAGCTGCTCTGCATCATCACTTTGTTCCAACTGGTTTTTGGAAGCTGCAGAGATTGCTCCAAGTGGGAGAAGAGAACAAGTTAGGAAGAGCTTGGGAAACCTTTGATAAGTTCTTATATGAGCAGATTTTGCTGAATGATGAAAAGTTAAGCACAAAAAATGCAGAGAAGGAAGAAGAATTTGACTTACTAACAGCTTTCATGTTCGGAGAATCTGGGGAAAAATCCCGGAAAAAATCCAACAGGTTTTTGAGAGACACTGCATTTAGCCTCTTGGCAGCAGGGAGAGACACAGTGGCTTCAGCTTTAGTTTGGCTCCTCTGGCTTGTTGCTACACATATCCATCTGTTGAAGAGAAGATCTTAGAAGAGATCAAAGTGAATAATATGCAGGCCAATGAAGATAGTAAGTGGAAGACTTACAGTGTAAAAGAGATGAGCAAGCTAGTTTATCTCCATGGAGCTGTTTCCGAGGCCTTAAGGTTGTATACACCAGTAGCATTTGAGCACAGAGCATCAGTTCAGCTAGCCATTCTTCCAACTGGTCATCCTGTTGGTAGAAACACCAAGATAATTCTCTCTCTGTACTCAATGGGAAGGTTTAAAGAAATATGGGGTGAAGATTACTTGGAGTTCAAACCCCAAAGGTGGATTTCAGAGCAAGGAAGAATTGCGCACATGCCATCTTACCAGTTCGTGCCTTTTCTTACAGGACCCAGGACCTGTTTGGGCAAAGACACAGCTTTCTAACAAATAAAAACTCTTGCTCTGGCTGTTATCCAGAATTATCATGATAAGGTTCTGGAAATCCTGTGACTCCAAGTCCTTCCATTGAACTCAAAATGAAGCATGGTGTGCTTGTTAGTGTGAGCAAAAGGCACGCTAAGGAAGAAAAATCCTGGTGACCAGACATACACGCCTACCCTTGGAGTTTGTCATGCTAGAGGCATATACTCCCATTGCGAGTTGTGGCAAAAATAATGTCGACGTCCGAATTAATTGTTCGGAATAGGTTTTAAGATTTATGTATCTTTCTTTTACATTCCTTGTTTTAATGTGCCAACCATGTAGTATTATAATAAATTAAAATAAAAATTTTACAATTTATATGACTTAAAAAATTTAAGGAGGGCTATTTGACAATTTATATGCAGGTTAATGTTGGGTTTCACTTTTATGCTCCGTCGTGGGCTTTGATTGCCGCGGTCCGGTTCCCAACGTCTTCTTCCTCTCTTCCGTTTCTTGTTCTGTCTCTGTGTTCGGTGAAGAGCTTTTGCAAATTGGGCTCTTTTTCCGCTGTTAATGGACCTTAAGCATTTCTAAAGGCATAAGGAAACCCAAGTTGGGCCTACATGGTTTATATTTTGGGC